AGGTCTCGATGGTACATGTGTTAATTTCACGACAAATGCTTTTTATCTAGTTGGCTCCACATGCTAGATGTTACTAGGTTTATCTCATAGCATACTTTTAGCTTACCTGCTTTTACTCAGCAGTTCAGGCTCATGCGTCAAACACATGATATCACAGCCAAATAAAATTCTCATCCCTGAATTTGAATGTCACTCAATCATCGCTGTTTGGGCGGAGTTTTTTTTCTTCTTCTTTTTTCTCTTATCCTCATCAGGATCCCATCACAGAGTCATAATGTCAGCACTTACTTTTGAGATTTTTATTTTAGATTTTTCATCTGCTTTTTATGGTCTTTAATATGTGACATATTTTATAGGAGGGAAAAGATGTCAAGGTGGATTTTTACAGCACAGTTGACCCCCCGGTTCGATGGGTCCGTAGTGAATGTGCATGTGTGCTGAGAGGGACACAAAGACTCCAGTGTTTGTGTGTGTGTTTCTGCATTTTCTTTATGTTTCCCTGCATTTGTGCACCCATATGTTTTTTTGTCTGATTGCAAGTCTGTCTGTTTTTAGATGTAGTTGATTAGTAGTTTTTTTATTTCACGTTATTTTTTAACAAAATATATGAAGCAGACTGCATGAGTGGTTTGAATGGAGAGATTGCGAGAGGAGGAGAGAAAATAACAGAAGAAATAGAACTATATCCGAACTTTATTCATATATAAAATTTCATCCTGGGGTAACGCTGATCGCCCGCTCCGGCCAGCATTATTGTAAATATTTCCTGCACCCATTAGATTTGTGTTTGGTCCCACAAGGTCTCAATCCCATTGCAGCACTCTAGTCCGGGTACTGAGCAGGACCCTCTTAATCACACAGCACTATACAACATTTCATTCAGAGCGGCTGAAACACCATGAAATATGAATTCATGAAATATTCATTCACAACATAACCAGAAATGTGGTTCAATTTTACAGTCAATAACCTTAGTGTTGGGGTAGTGAGCCAAGTCTGGCTCACTGGCTCACTGGCTGGTTTTTTTGGTTGTGTGTGTGTGCATACATGCATGTGTGCTTTAGAGGTAACCTGTGAAGGGCAGGGCTTGCTTCATCATAGAACTGTAAACAGCATTTCATTTTCTAGTCATGAATTATTGACTCATGTAATGTTCAGTCATCTCGTAGCTACCAGTGTTACTCATATTGAAAAACTATACCTGTAGTTCATTCAGTCAAAATTCATCATAAATAATTGATTGTTTCTCTCATTAGGGTTCAATAATTTATTCCATACATTTTAAATCATATATAGCTTTTGCTAACCGAGCCAGTGCAGCAGCTGAATTGTCCTGATTCTTAATTTGACTGATGGTCAATTCAGATTTCTATAACAACGGGGTCACCAGGCTAGACTAAGCAGTGCTGTGCTTACTTAGAACATACAAGATGCCGTTTTGTGGTCCTCATTAGTCATGAAGTCATTTGAAAGGCTCATCAAGAAGCAGCTCCAGATGGTTTAGAGCTCATTAGACTCTTTGTGGTTACGACGAGCAGAAGAGGCGTTTGGGAAAGGCTGCTTTAACCTTTCTTAAGTATAGTGTTTTTAGGCTTTGGTTGGTTTTACTCCCTTGCATTACACACGCAATGTTTGTTTAGTTATTTATTAGGATTTCTGACATGTTCTTAGATGGGGAGAGGAAGCAACAGTAACATCTTAGTGAAACAAAAATGGCAAAAATGCCTCTGAGATGTGGGTGTCTTGTTCTCTCACCTGGTCTTTACGTACACAGATTGCAGGAATCTTATTGAGGACAGGCACATCCTGAAATTCACTGATGATGTTGAAATCACAAGCCTATTACAGGGTCATGAGACAGAGGCTGATCCTGTAGTTGAGGAGTTTTTACAGCAGACTGGAGTGATGTATTTCTGCCCCGTGATGTGTCCAGATCAAAGAAAAGAGCCCAATTATTATCTGTGATCCTAAAGCCCAATTTACAGAGAGTTACAGGTACAAGGGAATTCCACCGTTGAGTACAAAAAACATTTTGTGCACTTTATGTAACAAGAGCCGACAGAGATTGTGTGTTTTAATGAGAGCCGAAAATTGATGTCTTTCTTATACACACATCTCATATCAAATCAATCCTCAAAAGCTCCTCAGTGGCCTGGTTTAGAACCTGAGAGAGGCAGGGAAAAAAGTCAGTATTGTGAGTGTAATAAATGAGATCATTTTCATTCAACAGACCATCCTCTCTGATGTCTACAGTGTGAACAAGTCAATTTGAGCCACTCCCATTAGGTCACAGATTCAGACAACCGCAAGCTAATTAGACAGGCTGAATTTCTCATTTCTTCCTCACACTGCAAACCTGCTTGAGTGTGCATAACCCTTTCTACTCAATTCATCGTCTTCTGTGGCTCTTATGGCTACCTCAGATTATTATTTTATATAGTTTCATGTTCTTAATGCATCTTGCTTTTGTTTTTGGAGACACTGGTAGGGGATACATGTATTGCACTTATTGAACGTAAAGCACAGCCACAGTCAGAACTTGCAGGAGACAATTTATAGCATATGACAAACATTAGACTATGCATACAGCTATACATTCAGCATTCAATTACTATTAGGAACCTAGCTGTAAAATCAGTTTCCAAATGGTCACAAAAGAGAAACAGCCAATAAGCCTTTTCTTTCTCCAATCTCATTATCCCTCTAAAATCTATTACCTTACTTGCAGATCTTTAAAGGTAGTGCATTTACACTCCCTTGTGCGTGCATGTGTGTGTTTGTAAGGCATTTACGTGTTTGTGTACGTATATCTGTATTCCCATGGACAATATTGCATGAGCATGATGGAGTATTATAGAACAAAATGGAATGGGGCTCAACATGCAATCACAAGCATAATATTGAAGTTGCACACACACATACACATTCATCTACACACACACACACACACACACACTTTAAGGAGCCTAATCCCCTTTGTGAATCTGTCAGCATTGTTGTTACAAACACAATAGGATTATTTGTGTGTGTATGTGTGTGTATGTGTGTGTGAGAAAGAGGAACAGATATGTGTGTGTCCCTGATTGTGATGCTATGGGAGAGACTGACTGTGGATGTGTGTGTGTGGTGCATGTATGTACAGTATTTGTGTGTGTGTGTGTAGGTGTGTGTGTGAGTGTGAGAGAGAGAGTAGTAGTATAGGAATGTTCCGACAGTATGCCTGTTTTCTCTCCAAAGCAATTTGTTCTCTATTCTTCTGCTAGGTGTGCGTTTGTGTCTGTGTGGGTGTGTTCATGCACAAGCATGTGTGTTAGGCAGGTTGTGATTGGTTGAGTCTGCGGGTCTCATAAAGACGATGTCATGATGGAAATTAATGCAATACATCACAAACACGCACTCAGACACATGCACAAGCACTCAGGCACACGCACACACATACATTTACTCACAGTGAAACACACACACAAAATACACACCTTTGCTTCCTGCCGTGGGCCTCTCCTGTAAATAATACCGAAAATAGGAGAGGAGAACAGGGGGATAAAGGAGAGGAAGGCGGGGGAAATAGAGGCTATATTTCTAGAAATACCATACACGAAATTTTAAAGAGAATTATGGTGACATAGTGGAACCTTTATATAGAATCAAAGAAGGATCTGTCTAACCTTATGGTCGTACTGGATGTGGAAAAAAGAGGTGTCATGAATACTTGCAAACTCAGGGGAAGGAGGAGGCATACAGAAGGAGATGGATACAAACTTGCTCCAGGCTACGTGAACGAAGAAGAAGCAGAAGCATTCAAGAAATTCGCCTAACGCAGCAAACGAAGAGCCAATCATCTTCAAGCAAGACCCTATTCCAGTTGGCAGTGTATTTCTGTTCAAAGTGGATGATGAGCTTTTGTAGCATGACATAGTGGTTCACAGCAGGGAAAGATGACCACTGGGTATTTGAGGCTGATACCTCTGCATGGTGACCACATGTGTTGTTAAAGCTAAAGCCAAATGTCTTCGCTGACAATTGCCTTACAATTACAGTTTCAAGCAATCTATGGGATCTTATCATTCTCTTTTATGTAAATGACAGAGGAAGGATGCCAGCAAAAATTAGTATAATAGCAATCCATGTTGCCTCTAAGTACTTTCCTTCACCTTACTTCCACTTTGAACATACAGTTATAGTGTAAAAAACTTGATGATAAAAAACTTTTGATAAAACAGAACTTATTAGTTATTAGTCATTGCAAATACTGCTCCTCAGGTTTGTGTCATTAAATTGCATGCCAATTAGCAGAATAGCAGTTAATATTTTCTTTTTTATGTCTGAGCTCTGACAAATGACCTTGTTTCATAAACACTATGAGACAAGGTATTTTTTTGTGAAGAAGCTGCTTAGTTGTTTTTATTCTATGTAATTTACCCTATAATGCCGACCCACTGTATGTCGGAAGTTATTTCTGTACAGTAACTGAGATACCTACCTACCTAATGAGCTAGCTAATTAGTCAAGATCAGTGTTATGATAAGGCCGTCATTTGTCCATAATTTCTTTCTTTCTTCTTCTTTAAAAAAAATTCAACAAAATGACCAAAATCAGTGATGTGTTAGTCTGTCCCTGAATACTTTCTGAATTCCACAGCCTGTGAATCTCAGCCCTGAGCCCACTGGTACCTACTGAAGATGTAAATCATAAATGTATACTTTCAATTTTAAAAAGATTCAAAACATGTCTCTTGTGCACTGTAGTTTTTAGCAAACAGGAGCAAATAGTAAATTTGTTGGGTACTAGTTTCTGCAGATGAATGCTCTAATGAGTATTTATGGCAGCAGGACTTATTTAAATTGTTAGTGCTCATGTTAATGAAGGAACGTGTCACCCAGTCCTGCGATTGGGCTTATTGATGCATGTTTTAATTGTTTTTGGACAACAATGGAGGTATATTAGCACAGGGGGAAAACTCTCAAATGTTAATATCTCCTTCTGAAATTGTGTCTTTACAGAAATAGACAAGGAGAGTTGCGGTGACCCTGGAACTCCTCTCTACGGAATAAGAGAAGGGGACAGCTTCTCAAATGGAGGAATCCTGAGGTTTGAGTGCCAGTTTGGCTTTGAGCTGATTGGAGAGAAAACGATCTCTTGCCAAGACAACAATCAGTGGTCAGCAAACATCCCCATATGCATATGTAAGTATTCAAATCATACATAGGTGATTTTTAGGGATATGGCTACAGAGGGGAAAAAACATGGCATGTGCTCTGCTATGATGTTGATAACATTCAGTCTGACCTGTCACCATGGTGACAGTACAGAGTTTATTATGGCCTGGAGCGGATGATGACCGATGATGCTGTGGCAATGAATATTTAACAGAATACCCCCCCCCCCTTTCCTTTCCTAAATTTTATTTCTCCCCACTCTCTGTCTGTCTGTCTGTCTGTCTGTCTGTCTGTCCCTGTTTGCATTCCTGTACTTCTCTTCTCCCCACAGTCCCTTGCATGTCCAACTTCACAGCTCCCTCAGGAACAGTCCTCTCCCCAGATTACCCAGAAGGCTACGGGAACAACATGAACTGCGTCTGGCTCATCCAATCAGATCCAGGCTCCAGAATCCACTTGGCATTTAATGACTTTGACCTTGAGGCCCCCTATGATTCCCTAACGGTGAAAGATGGCGAGACAAATGATGCCCTCGTCATAGGGAGGTTCTCTGGAGCTGAGAGTCCTTCCCATCTGACGTCCAATACGAACACACTAAGACTGGAGTTTCAGGCCGACCACTCCATGTCAGGACGAGGATTTAATATCACATACAGTAGTATGTCATTTTTTGTCTATTTCATTTAATTCCACTTTCCTATTTAAATACAGGGAAATTATCAATTTGACCTAAATCTGAGTTTAATGACAGGAAAAGGATCATTTAGGGTCATATTCATTTTCTTCTGCAGCAGAATAATGCAAGAGAGTGTGAGGCTTGTTCTGTTTTGAAGCTATAAAACAACACTCATATGGCTGTATATTAATTCTATGCATGACTTTCTGCCTTGACTTCTAGCGACTACATTAGATGTGAGGTGGTTTTATTCTAAAAGAATATATCCATCCATTTTTAAAACATTACGTGGACAAAAATTCAACTATATTCTCAAAGATTTTCATGACAACAATCACTTAGAAAGAGCAATGTTTTTCCCCTTTGAATATTCATTTAGATAGAAACTTTTATCTTTTATTTACTAAACGTTAGATCAGACTGAAGGTTTTAACAACATAAAGAGTTGTTCTGGAAAAGACAAAAGAGAAACTTCATTGATCAAAGAGGGATCACGTGGCCAGTGCAGCAGCTAAGAATAGAGGTGTAGGTTGCAGAACAAAGCATAAAATAAGGCATGGAAGGTATTAAAGGAATACTTTTTCAGGAGTTTTTTAGCTCTTGTTGTCGTACCCAAAGCCAGATGAGTAGATCATTTCCTGTCTGTTCGACCAGTACAGAGAGAGGTCCAAGATGTGTTTAGCCTCGTTTAGCACAAAGATTAGAAGCGAGAAGAGACCTAGTTCTGTCAAAAGTAAAACAATACACCTTCCAAAAACTCGCAAATTGCCTTTTTTAAACATCATATCTTGTGTCTTTAACCTGTGTCAAAATAGAAACCAAGACTTAAGTGTTTTAGGAACATTTAACATGTCAAAAGTTTTGTCTCCATTGTAAATTTGTCAGCTGTGCAAACTTTTGTAATTGATCAAACCCCAGGTGACTGTTTGATGTATTGATGACTAGCTTGCTAGACAACAGGATACAACATGTACAGTAAAGAAGATAGTTTTGGATTGTTGGAGGGGATATTTGTTCATTTTTGATGGTGGTGAACTGTTTGCCCTTGCTTGCAGTCTTTGAGCTAATTTAGTCTAAACACATCTCTATACCAGACAAACAAAAATGGAAATTGATATTGATTTTCCCATCTGACTGTGGGTTTGATGGCAAACAGACACATTTCCCAAAATGTTGAAGTTGAAGTTTCCTCACAGTCACAGTTTTTCCTCACAGTGATTTCAGCTCTCACCATGCTGTGTATATCTGGCTTTTTATTTTTTTGGGGGGGGTGTCACTGCATTTGTCATTTTAAAATCTCTCTATCACCTGATCACACCAGATTGCTTCAGCTGGCAAAACTTTACAGCCCTTAAATCTGTTGAGCCAGACCATATCCCAAAGCAGACATGCGATGTAATGAGTCAAAAATGCTTAGATCCTACCTAAGGAGAAATTTATAGATGTTTTCCTGACCAGGACTGAACTCAAAGATGTCACGCTGCGGCCATATACTTATATGATTGGTTCTCAGAAATGTAATCAAAATGATGAGCAAAATGCAGCCTGTAAGCGCCCATTAAGTATAGGTTTCACACTCCTTAATAACATTTCTTGTGTATGTCTCTCTCTCTCTCTGACCATCTTGTCGCCAATATCTTCCTCATCATATCTGTGTCTTCTTGTAACATTTTTTTTTCCCTTAGCATTTGGCCATAATGAGTGCCCAGACCCTGGCATTCCCATCAACGCGCGGCGATTTGGAGACAGCTTCCAGCTTGGCAGCTCCATCTCTGTGGTCTGCGAGGACGGTTTTATCAAAACCCAGGGAACCGAGACCATCTCCTGTCAGTTAGAAAGAGGAAAAGTCATGTGGAGTGGGCCCATCCCGAAATGTGAAGGTAAATATTGACTAGATGCTGATTAAATTATTAACTCAGGAACAATATGTCATCCAAGATACCATCATTACTACAGCATAAAGACCTAGTAGGTGGAAAATATCGGCTGTCAGTCCAAAGACAAAGACAGCTAGTAGCTTAAGTATAAAACCCTTTTTCTTGTAATCTGTACATGGGAAGAGATCTATGCGGATGACCTTTAACCCAAATGTAGTAAATTACACATACTGTATATGAATATGTTAGCATAATTATCATAATCAGTGTGCAAACTATACCGCGGCTTTTGGGAGGGGGGCACGTGCCTCAGAGCAAGGACTTACTCAAAACACATCCATTATTACAAGCCTGTACGCCTACTTGCCTTATGTTAACTTTCATCTCCAAGCTGTACGCTTTGTATCACCAGTCCGCAAAGAATGCGCGATTGCTCGAGGAAGCAGCTGCAGATCTCAATATGCAAATTTTGAGAACTGGTCAGATATTCACCATCAGGTGGGTGGCGAGTAGTTTTAATACTGTAAAAGCAGTCTGGAATAACTACCCTGCATTAGCGCGCCACTTCAAGACAGCAAACGATTTAAAGTGACGTTTAAGACATAGTGCCCCCACGCTTCAATGGTGAGGACAAGAATTGCATGCAGGCCGGTATCTTTATTAAAGTGAAATAGTGATGAATCACCCTCATGCGCAAATCATACATTAAAAATAGACTAATTTTACACATGATCCATGATTATGACAATACAAAAAAACAAAAAACAAAAAAGGAATGCATGGGAAAAAACAGCAAT